GCTCTACCTATCCTGGTAGTCTTGACCAAATACAGGTAGTCCTCGACTTACGACCACAATCAAGGCCAAAATTTATGTTGCTAAGTGAGACATTTGTTAGATGAGTTCTGCCCCATTTTAGGACCTTTCTTGCCACAGTTAAGTGAATCATTGTAGTTGTTAAGTTAGTAACACGGTTGTTAACTGAATCTGGCCTTCCCCATGGATTTTGCATGTCAGAAGGTCACAAAAGGGGATCACATGACCCCGGGACATTGCAACCGTCATAAATATAAATCAGTTGCCAAGCATCTGAATTTTGATCATGTGATCATGGGGATGCTGCAGTGGTCGTTAAGTGAAAAAAAAATGGCCATGTCACTTTTTTCAGTGCTGTCACTAAACGTTTATGAACTGTTGTAAATTGAGGACTACCTATATAGTAGTAATTGCTAGGAAACAGCCAGATCAGCGGTGAAATCGTCTGAAGTTTGCTACCGGTTCTGTGAGTCTGCTACTGAGCGCGCACTTTGCACGAGTACGCACCTGAGGCACACCCACGCAGTGCTAAAAAAAGGAACATTTTTAAGCCTTCCGAGTCTGCAAAGGTAAGTAGAACAGCGAGGGGGGGAATCCGCTGTGCCACGCGATTTAGATTAGCTAGAAAGCAGGAAATCCGACGATTCTAGCTAATATAAATCACACGTCACAGCTGATTATCACCCAGATGATCATTGGAAATACCAGTTCGGACGAACCGATAGCATTTTTTACTACTGGTTCACCCAAACCGGTCCGAACCGGTAGCATTTCACCCCCTGAGCCAGATCTAGATTCTCAGAAATTCTCCAACTCAATATTTTAAGGGATTTCTTCTGAGTTTATTCGTATTTCCCTTTTAGTTCCTTAAACCCACGCTTCGTTTGAAGGAACAGAACAAGAACTGGCACATAGACAATATGCAAGCAACCTGTTTCTAAGCAACCTGCTTCTGTTCTTTCGCTTCTATCTAAGCAACCCATCAGCCACAAGAACACCATAATCCAGGATTGAGACACTTTATGGAGGGAGGGATTATGGAGGACTTTGAGAGTAGAAGACATGACCTAAATGTGGTAAGAGCCCCATGTTATAATTCTTAATCAATCTTCACCTTTACAGCATTCCAAAGACTTGCATATGTTTTGCAGCATTAAGACATGCTTATATAATTAGAATTTGACAGGTTGATCCAATATTGGGAAACAGCACGTTTAAGTAAGCTTCACTGAAGAAAATCATCTTAAAATTAACATTACAACACAGAAGATATCGTTTTACTTCTCAGGAGGGAAAAACCTCATCTGAAATAAAAGATGCTACTCGCTCAAAGGGAACAATGACGAACGAAAGGTGGTTCCAGGGATGACCAAAATCAAATAAAAGCATGCAAGATTTGGAGACAAAACTAGCATTTATTTACTAGTAAATGAACACTAGAGTCTGTCTTACTCAATTTCCAAGACTTTGTCCAGAAATCGCTTACAGCAGGAGTCTCCAATCCCCGGGCCGTTGGCCCATACCAGTCTGTGGCCCGTCAGGAACCAGTTCACGCAAATGAATGAAGCTTTATCTGCACAGGATCTAGGTTAATACCAATTCCAGTCTGTGGAAATATTATTTTCCATGGAACCAGGGATGCTATTCAGCAGGTTCTGACAGGTTCTGGAAAACCGGTAGCGGAAATTTTGAGTAGTTCGGAGAACTGGCAAATACCACCTCTGGCTGGCCCCAGCATGGGATGGGAATGGAGATTTTGCAATATCCTTCCCCCAGGAGTGGGACGGGAATGGAGATTTTGCAGTATCCTTCCCCTGGAGTGGGGAGGAAATGGAGATTTTGCAGTATCCTTCCCCTAGAGTGGGGTGGGAATGGAGATTTTGCAGTATTCTTCCCCTGCCACGCCCACCAAGCCACACCAAACGCACCAAGCCACGCCCATAGAACCAGTAGTAAAAAAAATATGAATTCCACCACTGCATGTAACCCATCCTTGGTGCCCCATAGGCTGGGAATTGCTGCCTTGCAGGTAGTCCTCAGGGCTTAGCAACCATTCAAAGTTACAACGGAATATAAAAAAAGTACTTATAACACAGAACGAAAGTTCCAACAGTCGCCCATCTGAACACTCACGTGTTTGAATTTTGGGTGCTTTTATAGCTGCTTGCAGCAATCTATGGTCACATGACCTCCCTTTACATTTCCTACCCCTCCCCCGAATCTGGCATTTACTTCCAGTTTCCAGCAAAAACGCCCATTGTGAACAATAACTGTGGCAGTTATTAAGAATGCCATTTAATAACGGTGGCATTCGCTTAACAACTGCTGCAAAAAATGTAAAATCAGGTCAATGAGGCAGTAACTTGCTTAACAATCAGCATTGACTTACTACCATAATTTTTGACTCAATTATGGTCATAAGCGGAGGACTAATTGCACCTTTTTGGTGATCAACCTAATTAATGAGATTTCTTGTGACTACTTCTTTGTGAGTTTTATTGTTAGTGAAGGGCAAGAGAGTAAATTTAAGGAAGCAGTGAAATGATGGTAATAAACACTCCTGAATGTGTTTCCACACCACACACACACGTCCAAAGCAGCCAACAGGTGCTGTGGGACTCCCATCCAGAAGCTTTGGATCTGAATTTATTTATTTATTTATTTATTTATTTATTTGTTTGTTTGTTTGTTTCAATTTGTATACCTCCCTTCTCCAACAGGACTCAGGGCGGTGAACAGCCAGAATAAAAACAGAACATACAAAATTTAAAAACAATTTAAAATAATTAAATATTTTTGGCCGCAGTTTAAAAACAAACCCAATTTAAAATCAAATAAATTTAACCCAAAAACTGTGGGATCAAGCCAGCCCGGCTAGTTGAAATAAATAAGTTTTCAGGGCCCGACGAAAAATCCGGAGGTCTGATATTGTACGTATCTCTGGGGGGAGGTTGTTCCAGAGGGCAGGCGCCACCACAGAGAAGGCTTTCCCCCTGGGGGTCGCCAGCCGACACTGTCTGGCGGACAGCACCCTGAGGAGGCCCACTCTGTGCGAGGGTACTGGCCGGTGGGAGGCTATTGGTGGCAGAAGGCGGTCTCGTAAATATGTTACACACCTCTAAAGTCAGGCTTTAAATAGGCAACAAGAATGAAATCCCTTATATTTTACAGCCGTGATTCTTAATCTGAGGTTAATTTGGGCATCCTGGTGGTAATGGAGCTATTTGTAAATTGCTTGTTTGTGAGTTAAGGATCCAGTTTGGGACTTCCACTGCAGAGATGTTTCTGTAAGACTCAAAGGTTTATTTTTCTTCTTTTGTTGGGGCATTATTCAAAACCGTGAAAAGGAGTAATTGGGTCAAACCGTTTAAAGAGCCACTGCTTAAGGAATTGGTCCAGGGGCTACTAAGATGAAAAGCAGTAAAAGTGGAAACTAAATTGGTGATAAAAAGCTATACAAAAGTTTTGACAGGTTTCGCCCATCAGATCTTTTGTATCTTTCTGGGCGGGCCATAAGTATCTACTGTGTTTCCCCGAAAATACAACCTCCCCCGAAAGTAAGTCCTAGCTTGATTGTTTTACGTGTGCCCAATATAAGCCCTACCTCCCCCCAAAAATAAGCCCTAATTAAGACCCGCCCACTCCAAGGTGCACAGGTAAAAATTAAGATAGGGTGGGGATAGGAGGGTGGAGCCACCCTACTACTTACCTTTGGACAGTTGCAGCCAGGCCTTGCACACCCTGACACCTGCCTTTCCGGCTCATTTCTTCTGCAGCCAGCAAGGCCGGCAAGACTTTCCTGAAGGCCTCTGCAGCCGATAACAGAACTCCGGAGCGCTATCATCTGCTGCAGAAGCCTTCAGGAAAGCCTTGCTGGCTGCAGAAAAAGTTCCTGAAGGCCTCTGACAGCGAAAAGGAGGCCAGTGCCAATACACGCAAGTGAGGTAAGTCAATGGACGACATATACACACACACACACCGAAAATAAGACCTGGTGCCTTTTTTGGAGGCAAAAAAATATAACACAGGGTCTTATTTTTGGGAAAACATGGGTATTACCAATGCTACCCATGGCATCGTTCTTTGCTATCCCCACTTCAAATGGCATACAACAGGAATAGACAAGCTGGCCTCTATTTTTCCCTACAATTTCACCAACTTCAGCCAACAGATTGATCAGGCAGGTTTCTTACAGTTGGCGCTTGATTATTATAAACTATTCCTTACAGAAAATAAATCATGTCTAAGATTAGAGTAGCCTGGTGGAGAGAGAAAAACAAGGATTATATTTAGCTGAAGGAGGTTATGAGCAGAGTTTAGATTCAGGTGTGTTGTTTGCTTTTGGATTAGCATATGAATGCTAATCCAAATGCCATTAGCAGTTTGTAAACCACGGATCAGCTCTTAATGCATAAACCAGGCCATCAATTGCCACCAAAGCAAAAAGTACACACTATATTGCTAGGTATTTATATAAATATAAATATTTATATTGATATTTATATCTGAAGGTGCAACTGTGCCATAAACAGCACTCTTGAAAGTGCCAAAGGTAAATTGAAAGTTATTCCCAATTCTCACCTCTAAAACTCCCAAAAAAAATTTGGAGAGGAGAAACCATCCTAATTAAGCAAATATAACAACAACAGCATGCGCATATATTTTTAACAAGGTTTTCTGGCATTAGAGAGCGCCATAAATGACAAAATGACACCACGTTCCAGTAAGGCTTCCGAATTGCTATATTGAAGAGGCCTCACTAAAGCCTGAGTCACAAAGTCTGCAAATAATGTGAAATCTACTCCAATATGAATCTCGATAAGCTCAGAAAACTCTGACTAAAAAGTATATACAACCAACTTTGGCTACAAATATCCCAAGAAAATTCTAAAGTATACATTTTTAAACCAATTATTTTTAACGGTTCTGGGGGAAAGAAACACCTCAGCAGTAGTAATACTACACTCAAAATCTAATGGTACCTTCCAGATGCTTCAGAAGAGCCCTTGTGCTATTTCCATGGGCAGAAATTAACACAGTCTTGCCTCTCTTGACTTCTGGTGCTATCCTTTCATTCCAGTACGGAAGGAGTCTATCCAATACTTCTTTTAAACTCTCAGACTTAGGAAGCTTCTCTTTTGGTACATCACAGTACTTATACCTGCGATCATTATATATTTCGTGATAGTAAGGGTGGACCTCACTGATGGGAGGTGGGCTGACGTCGTAGCTCCTTCTCCACCTTTTCACTTGCTCCTCACCATGGTTCAAAGCCATCTCTGTCCTGTTGAGGCCAATCAGCGCCCCGTAATGTCGTTCGTTCAGCCTCCAGGAAGATTCAGTGGGGACCCACTCCTGCCCCATCTCCTCAAGCACAAGCCACGCAGTCTGAATAGAGCGGCTAAGAATGGAAGTAAACACAAGGTCGAACTCGAAACCCAGCATTTTGAGGTGCCTCCCACAGGTCTGAGCTTCCTTCACCCCATCGGCGCTCAGTTTCTGGTCAACCCAGCTACAGAATCGATTTTCCTTGTTCCAAGCCCCTTCGCCATGTCTCAGCAAGATGAGTCTGTACTTGGCCATCTTGATCGGAGCTCTCTTGAATTTGCAGAATCTACAGAGAAGGCATCTAAGTGGAAATAAAAGAAATCAATCAATCAAATGCTTTGGATCACTAGCAATCAACAACAAACTCTTATCTAGAATGTCTTGAGGACATCATGAGTAGTCCAAGGTAAATTGTTACTTGCGACTGACCTTCCCCTGATACAAAGGTTCTTCTAGGAGAGGACCACTTGTGCTCTGGAGCTCATTTATAGTCCCACCAAAGTAACAGCAAGACCTAACAAAGTTAGCCAATGTCACATGTGAACTGGATGGGAACATGCTCACCATCCAGAATCTTGGGCCAGTTCCTACATATGGTAGATATGCAGCAACTACTCACTGGCAAGTTCCCTCGAGGAGCACCCGGAGGCTCCAGCTGGTCCAGAATGCGGCCGCGCGGGTGGTTATGGGAGCGACATGCTGCTGCACTGGCTCCCGGTGGTCTTCCGGGTGCGCTTCAAGGTTTTGGTTACCACCTTTAGAGCGCTCCATGGCATCGGACCGGGGTATTTATGAGACCGCCTTCTGCTACCAATAGCCTCTCACCGACCAGTACGCTCCCGCAGAATCCTCAGGGTGCCGTCGGCCAAACAGAGTCGACTGGCGGCCCCCAGGGGGAGAGCCTTCTCTGTGGGGGCACCTACCATCTGGAACGAGCTCCCCCCAGAGATACGGAGGATCCCGGACCTGCGCACGTTTCACCGTGCTCTCAAAAGTTTTTTATTTCAGCAAGCTGGCCTGGCCTAACTCCCCTCTTTTAAATTTTTTAATTCGTGATTTTATAAATTGGGTGTTTTAATCTGTGTTTCGGCCAAAATATTTAATAATTTTAAGGGATTTTTAATATTTGTATTATCTGTATTTTATCTTGGCTGTTCACCGCCCTGAGTCCTTCGGGAGTAGGGCGGTATAGAAATTTGATTAATAAATAAATAAATAAATAAATAAATAAATAAATAAATAAATAAATAAATAAATAAATAAATAAATAAATAAAGTTGAGTAAGAATTCTCGGACAAAAATCACTAGGCACAACATACTGCCCTAAAACGGTACATTTTAATACCTTGTTCCAAGATTTTGCTCCTAGAAAGAAACTCAGGGCTGAGCCTGAATGAAATGACAGCAGCTTTTACTCTTTACACTTGTGGTTTAGAGGACAATTTTGCTTCCAGCTCTAAGCATTCAACCTATGGTCCATTTTTAGCATTCTTTATGGACAAGCCATCTCAATAATAGTGGATTGCATCTGACTCCTTTCAGAAAAACAACTACAGTCTGCCTGGGATCAAACCATAATTTTCATGGTGATCCATAGAAATGTGAAGAGAAAATTTTCAATTTCTTTTTTGCAGCTTCATAGGGAAAGGCAAGGAAAGGGATAAGGGACTGACACAGTCTTATTTTGGTAAACTATGGTTCTCTATTACAATGAAACAAAGGAAAAGGGCTAATTGGATAGGATCTTCTCCACAAGAGCATCAAGACTTTGGAGATTCTTCTCAGGAAAAATCCAGTGTCTGTTTTTTCTATCAGCTTATTTTTCCCTAGGAGATAATGGGGTCCTCTTCTGTTTAGAGCAAGGGTGGGGAACTACGGTCTTTTATGACTTGTGGACTTCAACTCCCAGAATTCCTGAGTCAACCATGCTGGTTCAGGAGTTCTGGGAGTTGAAGTCCACAAGTCATAAAAGGAGCCATAGTTCCCCACCTCTGGTTTAGAGAATAAGTTTCTCTTTTCAGTAATGTTTAATTATGCTCAAACCACACTCTACCTCTTCTGGCAGTTTTAGGTATCTTAATGGATTAATTGGTTTTTGATGGATATTTTGTTCATTCACATCTTAACATTGAACAGATGGTGTGCACTGGACTTATCCTTCCCTACATATACAAAGATCATGCTTGCAATTCACTAATCGATACTCATCGCTCTCAGTATGTGGCAATAGCATGGTGAAAGAGGAGTGGAAGTAGCAGAGATAAGAACAAGTACCTCCAGACCAGGGGTGAAATGCTCCCGGTTTGGACCGGATTGCCCGATCCGGTAGCGATGGCGGTGGGTGGTTCGGAGAACCGGTAGCAAAAATCCCTGTGCCCCCCCTCCTCATGCCCAGCTGAGCCACGCGAGGCATTTTTTTACTTTTAAAAGCATTTTTTCTACAACCTCTTCGGCCGAAAAAATGTTTTTAAAAGTAAAAAAAAAAGCCTCTGATGATCGCACAGCTCAGCTGGGATCGTCAGACGCTTTTAAAAGCATTTTTTCTACAAACTCTTTGGCCGAAGAGGCTGTAGAAAAAAAAAAAGCCTTTAAAAGCCTCTGGCGATCCCAGCTGACTTGCCTGATCGTCAGAGGCTTCTAAAAGCATTTTTTTCTGCAACCTCTTAAGGTTGTAGAAAAAATGCTTTTAAAAGTAAAAAAAAAAAAAAAAAGTTGGCCACAACCACCCAGTCACATTACCCCCCCACCAAGCCACGCCCACAGAACCGGTAGTAACAAATTTTAGATTTCACCCCTGCTCCAGACTTAGTTATTTGCTTTGTAGCATCTGACAATTCCAATAAAGTTCTTGAATGGCTGCATTGGCAGACAAAAGCAACCAAAATTCTGGAGAAATTACATTTACAGGAACAAGAGAGCTCAGCTGGTTCTACTTAACCATTCCTGCTGACAAAGTTCATTAAAAATAAGAGCCTTGGTACTACAGTGGTTTAAAGCACCCTGTTATTAACACAGCTGCCTGCAATTTACTGCTGGTTCGAATCTCTCCAAGGCTCAAGGTTGACTCAGCCTTCCATCCTTTCTAAGGTAGGTTAAATGAGGACCCAGTTTGTGGGGGCAATAAGCTGACTTTGTATAAATATACAAAAGTATGAAGGCTATTGCTTAACGCACTGTAAGCCGCCCTGAGTCTCCGGAGAAGGGCGGCATATAAATCAAATTAAAAAAAAAAAAAAACCTGAAAGCTTAGAAGAGAGGTGCCCAACCTTGGCAAAATCAAGATCTATGGACTTCAACTCCCAGAATTTCCCAACCAGCCATGAATTCTGGGAGTTGAAGTCCACAAAATTGCCAAAGTTGGACACTCCTGGCTTAGAATGTCGTTCTAATTGATTTTCAAGATTGGGTGCTCCCAAATAAGCTAGGATGGTTCAACTAAGAATTATCGGACAGATAAGAGCCAAATCAATTCAGGACCCATCAACATTCATTTTGTTGGTCATTTGGGGTTTGTTGGTCATTCATACTAGATGGAGGACCCAACTGAAAACAATGGCAGAGGGTACCACAGATCACTTACAATTAGCTAGGATATTCCAGAATTTATTAGGTTCAGAGCTTACAGTAGTAGCAATTTGCTCTTTTGATAAAGTAAGGCCAGTCACTCAGTCATTTAAAATTATGATATATATTCAATAACTTTAATTTTGAAGAGAGTTGTAAAGTCCCTGTTTATTCACATTGTACTCTATTTTCAATTCTTTTCTTTGGATTACTTTTTTTTTCTTAAAATATCTAATAAAAGCCTATTTGGCATATAAGTTTAATAAATAAATGAAAAATATTTTTAAAGATGACACATGGTAGAACATGGCAAACTAAACTCAGTAATTTCTATCGCATGTACTACTTTCCAATTTCTTCCAACATATTGATGAAAATCAAACCAGTTGATCTTTTAATACCTGTTTATTAACCGCACCCTGTAATTTTATCTTGATGATCCATCAATTAAGAAGAGTACATTGAAGGCACTCTTAGCAAACTCACTTAACAACTTAACAACCATTCATTTAGCAAACATTCAAAGTTACAACAGCACTGAAGAAAAATGCTTGCAACCTGTCTTTGTACTTAAGACTGTTACAGCATCTCCAGAGTTCACATGAACGAAACTTGGCTGGGTGACTTTTAATTTACTTATTTATATCTTGCCCTTATTATTGTTACAAATAACTCAAGGCGGTAAACATATTCAAAACACCTTCCTCCTCCTATTTTCCCCACAACCGCCTATGAGGTAAGTTGGGCTGAGAGTGAGTGGCTGACCCAAGGTTTTCATGGCTAAGGCGGGATTTGAACTCACAATCTCTTGCTTTCTAGCCTGGTGCTTTACTACTAGACCAAACTGGCTCTCTTTCATTATCAGCCGAGGTGATAATGAAGAGCCCAGGTGGCACAGTGGTTAGAGTGCAGTACTGCAGGCTACTTCAGCTGACTGCTAGCTGCAGTTCAGCAGTTCAACTCTCACCGTCTCAAGGTTGACTCAGCCTTCCATCCTTCCGAGGTGGGTAAAATCAGGACCCAGATTGTTGGGGGCAATATGCTGACTCTGTAAACCGCTTAGAGAGGGAGGTAAAAGCACTATGAAATGGGATATAAGTCTTACCGTATTTTTCAGAGTATAAGACGCACTTTTTTCCCTCCTAAAAGGGGGTGAAAATTTAGGTGTGTTTTATACACCGAATGTAGCCCCGCCCACCCACTGGCCTCCACCTGGCCCCCACCTCTGCCTCCCAGCAGTTACCTCCTTGCAAGCAAACAGCAAGAAAAAACAGCTCCTTTCAGCTTCAGCACAGCCTAATTAGCACAAGTTGATTGGATCGGCCTCCTGACTCTCAGCTAATTTGCTCTCAGCTGTTTTGCGCAGGGCTCTGCTGCTTGCTGCAAAGAGGTAAATTGCTGGAGCAGATTTTTTTTCCCTTGTGCTAATTCAACACGCTGAAAACGAAAATGAAAGTAAAGCAGGCTGTTTGCTGCAATGAGGCAAAATTGCTCAGAGGCAGAGGGAGATTTCTTTTTCTTCTTTTCCTCACCAAAAAAGGGAGGTGCATCTTATACTGCGGTGCGTCTTATACTCCGAAAAATATGGTAAGTGCTATTGCTAAGTGCTATCAGTGCCACTGCCTCTTGCCAACTCAAGATAAATCCAATGGACAGGACAAAAAAATCAGGATATGTGGCTAAAAAGTCACTCATCAATGCATCCCCTCTTTTTTTGCAGAAACATACTAAGAGAG